ACTTTAAAGTATTTTATTTTTTATTTTTTTATTTTTTTATATTATAAAATATTAGATTTATGGATATCTTTATAGAATTCTAATGATTATACCAAATTTTTATAAGTTCCTATATTAGATGTCAAATCTATATAACTTCATAAGTTATTTTTATAAAATTATAATATTCTGCTTCACATGAATAACATAATATAATATTTTACTTTGTACTATATCATAAAATTAAAAAAATTTCTAAGAATATTAAAAAAATAATTATAGAAGTTTGTATATCCAAGTTGCCAACATAATCGGCATCAATGTATCCTTAAATGGTAAATTTCTTGCTTTGAAATATCAAAAATCATAATTAGAATAGAAATGTAGATAGACTAAGATAAAAAGACCAATAGTAAAATAATTTTTTTGATATTGATGTATGAACCAAGTTAGTAGAAAAATCACAAATCCAATATCACATATGGTTTTAGTGAGGTAATTGAGTTCTCCTATTTGTAGTATAATAATGTCAAACATTGTGGCAAAAATTTCTTATAATAATAATAAATTTTTGATTAGTAGAAAGTCTTAGAGAATACAAGATATTTAGGTTAAATTAATTGAATCTAGTGGTGAGCTCAAATTTGATGGCAATGAATCCTCCAAGAATCAAGCATCTTTAGAAATGATAATTTAGTATTTTTTTGGATTCTAGCATCTAAATTTCATGGATATTTATCTACTATAATTGTAACCTAAATAATATGAATAAGTAGAAGTAGGTAAAAATAAATTAATTTCATAATACCTTTTAGAAAAGCTTCTTAAAAAATTCTCAGATGTAGATTTGACTTTAAATATGTTTGTAGTTGATTGATAAGTTAGAAACTTAGTCAACAAGCTAACCACATACCACATGTATTGGTAGCTTGTGGAATAAGCTAACTATGTGGCATCCATGTAGAAAACTTATCTTGCAAGTTAAGTTACATGTTATACAAAGTCAATATGTTTTTGGAGGTCCTATAGAATGTTGCTATTTAGATCCTAGATAGATAGTATATATAGAAGTAAGAGTGAAGCCTTCTTCACTCTTGTCAACTCCTTTCTTGCTTCTAGTCTAATTTCAAGACTCTCTAATTTCCTTGTTTAAAAGCAATAGTTTTTTTTTTTTTTTTTTTTTTTTTTTTTTAATATACAAACTTTTTTATTTCTATTTTTTTATATTTCTTTGATAGAGTCTTACTTATTTATTTTCTTTCATCAAATTCTTGTTGTTAATATTAAAAGCTTTAGAGTACAAATTAAAACTTAAGTAGATGCATTTTTTGGAACAGAGATTGAGTTTAATAATGCTTAAAGAGGTATTTGTAGTAAACATTGAAGTATCAAAGATATGAAGTTTAAAAATTTTAGATTTGGTATTTATGAATATTTTTAATAGAATTTTATTTGAGTGTTGTTTTAAGGATCTATAGTTTAAAAGTAGACAAGTTGTTTAAACAACTTTGATTCAAAGAAATTTTAGTAAATTTTAGTCAAATAATAGATATGAAAAAATATCTTGAAGAACTCAATTTTGACTTTTTGCAACACTATTTTAGTATGGTCTACAAACTTGGAATAATTTTCTATTAATGTCATAATTCTCACAATATGTCTTAAACTTTGTAGAAAGAAATTGTGTACCATAGTCATACCAAAGTATTTTTACTTTTTTTTAGTCTATCTTTCAACAAATTGATGAAAGTTCCAAAACTTCATAATATACTTGCTCTTTTTGGAGAAAAAATATATGAATATTTCAAGAAATCATCTACTAGTATAAGAAAATATCTTATTCTTTTTTATGACTTTACTTAAAAAGATCTTATTATCTATATATATATATATATATATATATATATATATATATGAACTAATTCTAATTTATCAAAAGACGGTTTAATATATTTCTTCAAAATCCTAGCTCTAGTTTTTTTTTTTCTTTTGATACATATCTTATCTGGAGCATCAGATATTACAATGTTGGAGAGACTTATAACAACTTTATTTTCAACCATTTAGAACATGACTTGATAATGGAAGTGGCCTAAGTATTGATGCCAAAGAATTAATATATTATAATAAATTTTAGCACATAAGAGAACTTTTGATTAATTTATAATAGTAGTGCCTTGTAATTTATACAAGTTATTATAATTTTTCCATTGTGCCTTTTTAATGGTTTTTTCTAAACCATCACAAACTAAACATTTATATTATATGAATCTTAAAACAAAGTTTTTTTTTGCAAAGAAGCCAATCAACAAAAGGATTTTTTTGAATATCCAGAAAATATAAAATATGGCTAATGGTATGTATTTCACTAAAAGAAAATTAAATTATCACTCCTTTCATACCATGTATATTATGACTGTATCCTCTTTTTAAAGTTACCTTAGTACCACTATTTTGCTATTATAATGAAAAGATTATTTTTTTTCAAGAGACATGGTGTGAGACCCCCAAATCTAAGAACCAAGATACCACAATCTTATCAATTTTTATTGAGTTAAGTTTAGCAAAGCAAATATTGATTACTTGAGTTGTTGATGGTTTGTGTTTCAAAGTGTCTTTTTTGTCTAATTCTAATGAATCAAGTATTTTTTTCTTCTTCAAAATATACTTTGTTGTTGGAACCATGGCTGCCAAATAATTTATTTTAGTGCTCATATTGTAATTAGAGCTCTAATGCTTTGAGTTTCTTCATTATTGCTTTAATACTATGTCTTTTAGGATGCTTATTTTTTGTTTGTTTCAAGTATAACTTTGAGATTGGTTGTCAACTTGGTTGTTGCCACCTTAGTATGGAATTCGTCCCATATGATATCAACTAGAATAGGAATGTGTATTGTTATTATAATATTGATAATACATTTATTCTTTGTATTCAACTTGCCTTGATTCTGGATCTTGTTATTTTGATATCCAAATCTACTACTAATATTTTATGATTTTTTTTTATGTATGGAGACGTCTTATATTGCTTTTAAAGGTCAAAAATGAATTAGTGTCTTTTTCTACATTCTTCTATACTTTTTGTAACATCTCTTCACTCAACAATCATATTTTAAGTTTTGTATATGATGATAACTTATCCTCTAGTGTCATATGCTTGATAATATTATACTTTTTTAGAAGATTATTCATTTTACAATTAACTATAATTGCTTCCAAAAGAAGATTGTTGATATCTTCTAAGAAGTCCATTATTTCTTTCAACTCTATTAGATACTTATTCATGTGTATTGTATTGCATTGCATTTATTTTTTATTCTTTATTTTTTTCATACCAAAAAACTTATCAATAATGTGAATTTTATAGAAGTTATTATCAACTTTGTATTTTGATTTCAAGTATACTAAGTATTTGTGAAGATTTTAAAAAGACTTCATGATATGTAGTACCATAAAATTGGTGTTGTTGTTGAAAGCATTCATTGCCTATTCTTATCTCATTTCTTCAAACAACAAGAATGACATCAAAGAAGTTGCTATAATATACTCACAAAATAAATTATCTTATTTTTAAATATCTTTTATTTAAAAGGCATGTATGCCATAGTTGTCCATATCAATAAGACGGTAGGTTTTGAAATAATGTAGATCTTTAAATTTAATAAAATACATGATTTATATATATATATATATATATATATATATATATATTTTATTATCATGTCTCTTAAGATTTGTAATTGTAGAGCTATACAGGCTCTTGATCTATCTAGTCTGCTACTACTAGCAATAACCTTAAAATTTGATCTTTCTATGGTATAACATAGATGTATTAGATGGTGGATAATAATTAATTATAAAATAAAGCCCATAGACATGTAAAGTCAGTACTTTTTTTGTATTCTAGTCTTAGTTGAAGGCTTTCTAGGTTCTTTGTGTTTGGCAATAGCCATTTAAGTTTCTTTCTATCTTGTATCTATTTCTTATATGTCTACTTTCTATCTTTCATTGATACAAGAATATATTGTCTCCTCAAGTTTCTATTATGATTCATGTCTTTAATGGTATCCATGATAGAATAGAAGTAGAATCTAGTTTATTTATAAAATTAAGAAAACTTGTATATTAATTTAGGATTATAGATAAAAAGTAGTGTCTTACTAAGTCTAAATATAATATATATATTTTTACCATTTTAATAATAAAAAGAATATATGTCATAATAATTAATTAAGAATATTATGTCTATATTATCTTGTAAGATATCTTAAAAATAAATGTTTTTTTTTAAAAACTTATATATTCTAATTGAAGAATCTATCAAGATCTATTTTATCTATTTATACTTAATATATGTATATATATATATATATATATATATATTATGAAGAGTAATAAGAGGTAAACATGGAGCCATCATAGGTTTCTTTTTGCATAAAATACTATCATTGGTTTAAAATTTGATAAAGATAGAAGTCGAAAACATCAGAAAGTGACTTGACCCATATTCAAGCTTTGTGGCTAGCAATTTTTTGTACATGGATGAGTTATTGGATTGGCCACTCATACACAAAAGTGCCATGAGTCCTACCAAATAATGCATACAGCAACAAAAGAACTCCTCGATATTATTACAAACACATTAAAGATAACTTGGATGAAGTTGAAACTAAGCAGTAAATGACGGAGCTTAAGTTGGCGGCACTCCAGAATACAGTTACAGTATAGATCAGATGAACATCGTCCAGATTTTTTCAAGTAAGTAGAATCTACACACACTTACGAAAAAAAAAAAAAGGAAAGAAAGAAAGTGGGGGGGGGGGGTGACCAAAAGAGAGGGGGAAGTGGAGAAGTGGGATCCGCGAAGCCCGAGGTGAAGCTATGCTGACGTGGAACGCATTGCCAGCGTGGAGAAGCGGAATCGTCCAAGGGGAGACGAAGCATGATGACGTGGACTACAGAGGCCAGCTTGGAACAGGGGGGGGGGTAAGGCATGTCCCCTTGACTGGAAGCGTTGTCGTCCCGCGAGGTGCAGCAGCCAGCTTCGTCAGGCCAGCTTCTCGCGTCACGCAGCCTCCAAGGCGACGGACCTTCACAGGCCCGGCCCGTCGGTTTGGCCTTGTGTGTCACGTCGCCGCACTGGCGGACTCTGCGTTAGCGAGTGGGTGAGAGGGAGAGAGAGAGATAGCGAGAGATAGAATGGTAGGTTTTTGTGTTTGTTGATGCTTCGGAGAGGAAGGACGTTGATGGGGGTAAAGTTTTTGCGGTTACAATCGCGGCCTTTTCGATGGTGAGTTTGATGTCGGGAGAGGTCAACGAGAGAGCTCGGTTTGAATTTGTGTGTGAGGGGGAGTTGTGGGAAATTTAGGGTTGCAGCGGATGCAGAGGTGAGGAGGAGAGAGACAGGGAAGAGAGTGAGTGAGTGAGGAGGAAGGAAGGAAGATGGGGGAGACGGAAGCGGGGTTCGCGAAGTTGCAGGGGGAGGATTTCGAGTATTACATGCAGACGTATTCAATTGTGTTGGGAAGGAACAGTAAGAAGTCGGCCGTGGATGTGGACTTGGTGGGGTTGGGAGGGGGGATGAACATATCCCGGCAGCATGCGAGGATTTTTTATGATTTTGAGCGGCAGCGGTTTGTGCTGGAGGTGTTGGGAAAAAACGGGTGTTATGTGGAGGGTGTGCTACACCATCCAGGCAATGTGCCCGTAAAGTTGGACTCGCAGGACCTGCTGCAGATCGGGGAGAAGCGGTTCTATTTTCTCCTTCCTGCGAAGAAGATCGTGCGTTCTGTGGCTACTGTGTCCAGCCCTCCGAACTCTAGAAAACGGGCTGCGGGTGGTGGCAGAGCGGCCTCGGCTGCGTTGGTTCTGGGCTCGTCCGGTCTTGTGAGGAAGGTAAGAGGGCGGAACAAGAATGGGCCGGTTGGTGGAGGCACCTGGGGGCAACAACAGACTGGGATGGTGCCTAAGGAGGTGGTGCCTCCTCCTCTTGTCGGCACCGGCACAAAGGGACGGGAGGGGAACAGGTATGACGAAGATGAGCCCGACGTGGTACACGAACAGTTCGAAGGGACGGAAGTGGTGAAAATCATCCTAGAGAAGCTACAGAGCCAGTATCATCCCGGCGAGTGGATGGCAGTATCCAAATTGCACGCCGACATCTTAGACCATTTCCAGCGCAGGCAACTGTCACCCCAATTTATGCAAATTATGGGCTTGGATGGAGATGGACAAGACAGGGATGGCAAAGGAAACACCAAGGCCTGGTCGGGACTTGTGAGCCTGTTGAAGCAGTATCCTCGATACTTCGTCATCAACACCAAGCTGAAAGGAGGAATTAGGGTTGAATATGTTTCACTCTATATCGAGGAGCAGTAATCGATTTCTATTTGTTGCGATGACATAGCAGAATTTCTTTCATCGCTGTGATCCCCTCTGCCTCACCTCTTCACTGTAAAGTAAATTGCTACTTAAGTGAAATTATGAAGGTTGTAACTCCCATGAACTAGGTTACTTGTAGCGCTTTGCACTTGGTGCTGCCGTTCATGGGTTGATTTCATACCGATGCAATCTGCCAAAAACAACAATCGAGGAGATGTGCTATCAGATCATGAGAACCTGGGCACCATCAACCCATGTACTCAGCAGTACGTGGTATGCTTTTTCATGATATGCATCCCGTGTGCTACACCAATAGTTAGACTTCGGCAGTAAGCTTATGCAGAGAAATCGTTGGTTGTTCATTTTTTTCTGCAAGGAAAGACAATAGCCAGTTATCTCAGTAGGCCAGGACCTCTTCAGTCTGTATACTTGTGACGTTACTGGCCATGTTAACAGAATACAACATTTCTATATTCTTCGATTCTTCGTTTCTTCATGTTTCCTGCTGTAATGTGAGCTCGGGATATTTCGTAGCTGGTTTGGGGATATGGGGTGTTTCATTTAGCACTGAGAAGACACTGCATTTTGTTGATAGAGGAGGTGCAGCGTGTTACTTTTGATTACTAGTGGTCGTCACGGCATACAAACACTGTGCTCCCTGTGTTCTTTTCCTGCTTCAGAAAATGCTGACAAAGAGTATGGGGCGTATGTTATTGACTGACTATAATCAAATGTAGCTGTCTATGACCTTGATTTGTACCCACATATTCAGTAAAACATAATCAAAAGTATCCATGTGTACAAAACAATATTTGAGGTTTAAACTTTAACAATGAATCAAGACTTGAAATGTAATTTAATTTTTTTTTCACTACGAACACACCACGAACTCATATTCAAGTCTAATCAATTACAGGAGTCGAATGACGTGTGCGCAAGCATCTCCTCGGCTCTCATCTTACAGAATAGAATTTTTAAAAATAAAATAAAATATGGAATTTACATTATGATATACTGCACATAATATAGAATTACTGACGATTTTATTTATTCATTTTTTTTTTTTCATGGTACATTTTTAAAGCTCAATACAATTGTTTCGAAATTTTTGAAGTTTCACATCAGTATACTTGTCAATAGTTTTTTGTCTGATTATTACATCCTTTTAACATAATATAGCTCTTAAATTTAAAATTTGCTTTTATCCACATAACTGTTTTTACATCTATAAATTGCATATTTATTTTTCAAATCTTTTACTAACAAAAACTTAAAATGAATCATTTTCAATATTCATTTGAAAAGATTGTAAAGATTACTACTCCACATGAATTGTATATGTTCTCTCATATTTTGTTTTAATTAGTCAATGTCTTTTGTTTGTAATCATTTATGGTTATCAAATGTATGTGTGTGTGTGTATACATATACATATATACTTCATAAATTTTTAATTAATAAAATAGTATGATTCATCAGATTTTACAAAAAATTAAAATGACTTTGAATAAATATTACTTAAAAGTTCAAATATTTGGATCCTTATGTTTTACAAAATCATAAAAGAATCCTTGTTTAAATTTTGGAAAACTATCATAAAATAAAATATATACATAGATAGCATACATCATTATGCAATTGCAATAAATTTATATTATTTATTGATTTTTACAACTACTTTAAAGCACAATCTTATTTTTTGTTATGAATCAATGCTCATTTGTATCTATTTTAATTTCCCAAAGAGATCAAATGATGAGCATGTGATTCCAGTGTATTTATATTTTTTATTTATACAAATTTATTAATTTTATTAATAAAAAAATATTTCTTCATTGTGCCGTCAATTTGTAGAGATAGAGCGTTGCATTGTTTGAAGTATTATTATGTAGAAAAAGAATAATTTTAATCTTTTTTTAATGCATGTAGAGATGAATTTTGTAATAATCTTTTTGATATTTGTAGTTATGCAAGATATCTTTTGAAGATAATACGAAGAGAAATTTTCTTTGATGCACAAAAACTTAGAGCTAAAATAATGTATTTGTAAAATAAATAAAAATGAACAAATTAAATTAATATTCTTTTTTTCTTTTTTTCTTGCCTAACTTTGTTAATTAAATGTAAGCTACCTAATTTTGTGTATAGAAGTCTATATTTTAGTTATGCCATAAGTATAAAAAATAATTATAAGCACATTTGAATGTATTATCTTTTCTATTCCTTCATTGGTCTTTCAAGAGGTAAAGAAAAGGACCAACTTTTTATTATCTCAATTGAAACATGAAAATCTCAAGGCTAATATCTACTCATTTATATAAGTTATATGTCTAGCAATGAAACTAATGAGACTTCTATTCAAATCCACATTTCTTTTATGATGTCAAGAATAAAATATTAGCTTTATGAATTTTTAAAGAATCTTAAAAGTATTATCTTAATTTTCTTTGACTAACTTTATAAAATAGATAAAATTTATGCCATAAATAGATAAAAAATATTTATCTTTTTATAAAGTAAGTACATATTCAATCATATAACATTATTTGATTAATCAACAAATACTTATAAAACAAAAGATGATTTGAATAGTCTTCTATATTTTACTATCCCATTGAATATTATAGAGATAAACTAGAAAAAAATATTCATCACAAAAGATGATTTTTGTAGAATAGAATATTCAATTAGAGCTAATTTTTTTGATTTTTTTTTTAATCTTTATTTTAAGTAGTTCACAAAAAAAAATCAAGAAAATAGTACATTTTTATATAGACTCTAAGTATAGAAAGCTTTATATCCTAGATATTCTACATTTCACCAAAGACAAGTTTGAGGTGGTACAAACAGATTAAATTAGACTCCTTTATCTCCATAGATATTAATCAAGATAACAATATTTATATTTCTATTCTAACAAAGTTATTTGATGAACTTGAATATTAAACAATACTTCTATTCTTGACGAAGCACAAACTGTATAGAAAAAAGGCTCAAAAACTAAAAAATGTTGTTTGGACTAATCTTAGTTTTGTAATTCTTCAAGTTGCATCCAATTATATAAACAACCCTAATTCTTAAAGAATTGGTGGTATGTGCATATTTATTATCGTTCCATCAAATATTTATTAGAAAATTTTAAATCTCTTATAAACAATAGAATCTTATGAATTATTCTCAAAGATATACCAAATAATTCATTAGAAGTAGTTACTATATATTTCTCCAACAAATTTCAAGAAGATAATTATGTCTAGGTTGGATTAGTCAACATGCTCCATAGTAATATTCTATTGATATTTTAAAGAAATTAGAAGACTATTCAAATCATCTATTATTTTATAGTTAAATATATATGAAATCTTCTAAAAATCCAATTCTTTTTTTTAAAAATTAAATTAAAGTTTTTTTTTTTCTCTTAAAAAATAGTTAGAAAAATAGAATTTGGATATTAGCCACATTAAATAGATCTTACAAAAGTCCAAGTAATTTATGTAAAGAGAAAATCTAAGAATAAAAAATTGACAAGATATGTTACTATTACATTATTTTTTTATATTAAAATAATATTACAACTTCAAACATCTTAGCTTAGAAAGTCCAACAATAAGATGAACATTTTTTTTTATCTTCATGATGTAGAAGTTCTTCAACATGTTAGGCAAATACATACAAATGTTAATTGAAGAGGATCATTCAACATTAAATTGTAATTATTTATAAGGTTCTATAAGGTTAAATCAACTCTTAAAACTTTTAAAAAAAACAATATTAGAGACTCATGAAGATTTACAATCAAATCTCAAAGATTTATTAACTTAATTAAGTCAATATGAAGAATAGACATGCTTAGATGGTAATGTTATGTTTAAAATATAAATAATTATATACTTTGAATCATTTTATTATTTTTTCTATAAATTATTAAAAATAATAAATTATCTTTAAAATTATTAAAAATATATTATAATTAAATATATTCTTATTTTTTTATTTAATATATATATTTGTCTTTTAATAAAATAAATCTAAGTAATAGAAACTAAAATTGTTTATTTTCTTTTTTTTATATGATTCTATATAAACTATTTTAATAATTATTATCTTAAAATCATATAAGTAAATATAATTGAAATATTATAATATATCTTTTGCATCTTAAAAGCTTAGATTTTAAAGCTAATTATATTATAATATTGTCTTTATATTCAAATATATAAACCAAATTAATAATACGTGTTTAAAATAAATTTATATTAATAAAATAATTCAAATCATAGATGTTGTAAATTATTTGAATAATTATTGATTTTCAAAATAAATTGCTATTCAAATGTTATTATTTTGATTGTTTCTTTCCTTATTTGTATTAACTATGTGACACATATAGAAAACTTGCATTGCAAGTTAAGATATGTCTTGCAAAGTCAACACGTTTTGGAGGTCCTATAGGACATTGCCACATAGCTCCTAGTTAAGAGTATATATGGAAGCAAGAATGAAGCCTTCTTCACTCTTGTCAATGCCTTTCTAGTCCTTAGTCTTGTTTCGAAACTTTCTAGTCTTCTTGTTTTTGGCAATAGCCATTCTTGTTCAATATTATATCATTTTTGAGTGAGTTTTTACTTAATCATATCTATATGTATTAACTATGTAAGTTTAATTATATTTAAAAAAGATTTTATTTATATTAATTTAAATTCATAACTATACTTATAATTTTTGTTATTCCACCAATATATAAGTTATAAGAGGTGCATGGCAATGCATCAATCAATCAATTTTTGCTTTTAAAAACTACAACAAAATTTACACATACTTTTGAAGATTGAAACTTGTTGTTGTGTAGGTTGGATAAGTTTATACTTACTCTACTTAAACTTTATTCACTACTTAATTATCTAAATATGAATTTAAAGACCACTAGTATTTACACCAACTACAAAAGTTTTTAAGATGGTATTGTAATGAATGCAATTGCAATGTAGTCTCTAAAGTTGGTAAATATTAAAATAAATTTAGTTGGAATAATGATCAAAAGTGTTTTGTTTCAAATGGATGAAAAATATAGTCATGAGATTTAACAAAGAATAAGTAGTGTGTTTTACATGATTGTAAAATAAATTCTTTTGTAGAAGGTTAAAAAAATAGTTTGGCTATGAATAATACTTGAAACATATGTATTTTTAGTAGAAATGGGTACATTATAATTTGACCAATCACACCTTCACATTTCTTTAAATATGACCAAGGTTTCAAATAAAGTATTTTGCAAGAGGTGCAAGTATAAACTATGTGTTTGGACAGACTTGGATATAGTGGACACTTCTACAAGAGCTGCATAAAACATTAGTTATGACCAAGCCACTTTTAAGTATATTAGCTTAATATAGGATTGTCAACTGATTTTAATACAAGACAAATAGGGGGTTTTTATTATTATTATTATTATTATTATTGAAACCATTAGGAAATGGGTTGAAACAAGCTCAAGGCTAAACTCAAAGCTGATGGGGCTTGCATAAATTCAACTGAAGGATTCATTCTAGCAATAAATCAATTACACCTTACAGTATTCAATCTTCTCCCATTTGTGTTTCAATATAGGGGAAACAGGACTCATTGTTAATTTGCCCTATTAAGTGGCCTGGTTATGACCCTTTGATCCAGAGATTAGTACAAAATAAATATGCAAAGCTTGCAAATTACACAACCAAACCCTCAACAATGAAAAAACCCGAATGAACACATTTAGATCGGTTTGTGCACATGATAAAGCTGCTAAAATCAATCCCTGTATTGAAAAAACGTGCAAGTACGTCTTGCAAATATAGACAATAAGGGATCACCAGGATGCTCCAGACTAAAACATCTGGATCCACAACTATACCACATACATGAGGAACAAGAGTCAAATGTATCTCTGAATGTGGACATTTACATAGACACTCTCCAAAAAAACCAAAACTATCACTAGCCCAAACTCGAATGTGGTTGTAGACACATCGTCAAAAGATCTCTTGGGCAAAACACTTGCATGAACCTCCTAAGCCACATAGCCCATCTCACAAAGCAAGCTCCAACTGCCTCAAGAACGTAGCGCCTTGGAAAAACTATCTTTATTCACACAAAGTATGCACACTTGCCGCACTTCAACCTGAATGGCTCCTTCTTCACCCAACTCTTCCAAGTCATTTACTGAGCTTATCATGTTGTTCAGAAGATCATTGGACTGTTGGCACCTTGCAATATGTAGGACATTACACTCATCATACATGGTTGTGCACAATGAACCAACCATGCATAATATATAATCGTCGATCCTCCGCAATTTGATAGGCACCATTACATACTCCCACGAACCTCCGATTGTCATGTTTCAAGGAAGCCTGATAGAGTACGATATATGCACACTTCGGCGAACTCTAGTGGTTCCAGTCATGCCAGTTCAGGTGGATACTTGTCGCCCAGGACATCGATGTAGTTTTCCCAAGAGGAGTAACAATTTTGCACCCACATGACGGGGAACAGGATAAAACATTGTGAATTGCAGATACCAGGTCCAAGGCCTACATCCCAACTCATTAACATTCTATCACGAGTCACCCGAACTGCTTTTACTTGTACGCCTTGCTTAGATGTACTGAGTTCAGAACCACATTGTTCCAACAGAACTGGACTGGGTGCTGAGACTCACCCAGATCCACCACTTCGAATCCACCAATAGAAATATCTCTGTTTCTTCATATCCCCTTCATCTTCAAAAAATTCCAGCCAGTCAACAATGACCTTTTGCGATGACCTGCAAACAACTTTTGCTCTCTTTCCTGCACGCATTCATGTAGGTCTATGATCAAAGAACACATCCAAGATAGAGACAGCCAAGGTAAGGCTATAAGATGCGCTCATGATAGGCTCTCTACATCCTTAATTTCGAGGGTGCTGTAGACCATGGGAAACATGCAATCTCCTGCTCCCTCGTGCTAGCCATTGAACCGGCGCTGAGCACCCTGCTGCTGTTGAGAATTAGGAGGTTGAGCATACTGTGTGAAGGGCTGAGTGAACATTCTTCCCTGCAATACAAAAATAAATATTTAGAAATCCCAAGTACCAGTCGTCGCAAGTTTGTGATGTCATGGAGGAACAAGGTCATAATGTAAATAGAAATTTAATTCATTACGGGTAGAAAGACAACAAACTACATCTACCTGAGATTGAAGACCCCCAAGTCCATAATGATTTTGGGTAGATGGAAGGTCCTGCGTGCGGTCATTGAAACCTCCTTGAGTAAATAATCCATCTGTCGCATGACCAAAAAAGTCCTGCAGAACATGACCAATTGCAAATGTAAGCTAGACAAGCTTGGATGATTTACTATAATAGATAATACCGACCCGTCAAGCATTTTACATGCCAGTTACAAAGGATTCTTATTCAACTCAACTTTTCCACTACTCACCTGTGAAATAAATTCGTTTCCAATGGACTGATGTGAGTAGCCTGGTTGTGAGTTTTGAGTGTTAAAATTCCCGGCATATCCACCTTGATTGGCTTGTGTGGAGTAATCCATACCAAAAGCTCCTTGTGTTGCAAATTCGTGTCCAGCATATCCAACATGTGATCCTTGAGACTTGAAATCCTCTCCAAAAAAATCCTGAGACATGCCTCCAAGACCGAATCCATCCCGCAAATTCTGACTCAGGGTTTGAGTTTGCATCTGGGTCATGATTCCCTGTTGCGTCATTGGACCACCGGCAGAGGCCTGAGTAGCAGGACTGTCGAGCCCACCAAATTGGAAGGCTCCCCCAAGTGCGCCCTGCTGCTGTGGAGTTTGGTGCTGCGACAAATGACCACCAATAGGACCGCTGGTGCTGCCTCTACCTGCCCCAAAACCACGACTACCTGCTTGTGGGACCTGCGGCACTGCTCCGATTGGACCATGCATGCCACCTCGCGAAGGAATTGCATAAGGTTGAGTAAGAGGTGTGCTTGGAAATCCTGTAAGTGGTACTCCCCGAGATGGTGTTAGACCGGCTTGGGAAGAAACACCTCCCTTCTGGGCACCATTGCTCAATGGACCAAAAGGCATATATCCACTTCCTGCATAAATGAACCAGATAGTAAGAGTTCCATGAAGCATTTAAACTCGGACAAGTTAAAAATGTCACACATACATATTTGTAACAGTAGCTTGAGCAACTGGAGTAGTAAATATTCACCATTGCGCCCATCTACCGCCCGAGCTCGTCCATTTCGGCGATCGTTCGCAGCGGCCCCAGTTGCTGCACTTGTAGTGGCAGCCGGAACAAAACCCTCTCCAGGACCCAAGGCAGGTGCACCTCCTCCAGGGTACACACGACGGTCATTGTAGACCTTCTTAGGCTTCTGGAACTGAACCATGCTCTGCTTCAAGTTATTCAATGAACCTTCCACCAACACTTCATGCTCCTGGTATCAAAAAGAAACCAATATCGAATCAGATTTGAACTAGTATTCATACCTTGAAGATCCTACTGAAATTAAACAAAATATTTCCACTCTAGTCTAATTCATAAATGCAGCACTGTATTGACTATGACTCGTCGTCGTCGCGCACACGTATGAACAAAGAACTAAAAAAACAAACGAACAAGGAGAGTTTGAACATGACAAATCCTTACCTTGTAATGAGTCAACAGAGTATTCCATAAAGGCTGCTTACTAAGAACTTTGGGATTGCCCAAAATCACAATTCCAAAACGAGCTCGTGTTAGAGCAACATTCAATCTTCGAGGATCATTGAGAAAACCAATCCCCTGAAACACCATTGCACAAAATATCTCAGCTTATAATAGTACCAATCAAAGTAAGAACAAGTCAAGCTCATATGCTCAGGATGTCAGGAATCAGTAAGGTACACAAAATACTGAGCATGACTTGCTTACCTAGCATGAAACATACAGTTGTCACAACCTGCTGAATAACTAGTCTTACCTGATGTTCATTACTCCTGACGCAAGAAACAATGATGAAATCCTTCTCTCGACCCTGGAAGGAGTCTACACTTGCAACCTGAAAACCACGGACACATCATCATTTACTTCATCATTAATTCATATTGTGGAAAACAACGTAGATACTAAAAAGCACATAATTATCACGACAGAATATTTCCCAAGGAACATACCTCTATCTCCTTGTATAACTGTTGACGCAAAGAGCCATTCCTAGCCATATTGTTAACAATGTATGCACGCTGCCCTTCATAAGGGGTGATCACACCAATCTGTTCAATCATGAAAAGTTAAGATACACATTTGTAGGAAACTCACAGGTTAAATATCAAACACCATTTACCAAATATCAAAAGGCTCCTACACAACAAGATCGACAAACCCTCCTCTATAACGCAATACAAATCAGTTCATAAGCACAAAATTTTAGAAGTTTAATCGCCACAGACTGCCACGAAAACCAATTTAACAGTTGATTATACAGTGTCAAGTAATAATAAACCTGAGCTGGGACTACTCCGCTCTTCAAGAAGGTAGTAACAATCTTCTCGACGTTCCCAGCTTCTCCTCTGTTCAGGTATGAAGTACCACTTGCACTAATCTCTTCTTGCCCCATCTGGATAGCAACAACAACATTTATAAGTATTACTAAGCTTCGGGTCCCGGAATGATCAGAGAGCAGAAAATGAAACACAACTAAAGATACCATAAGGTTAACAAAGTATTAAGCAAGTAATAATAACAAAAACCAGTATGCTACATCTTGACTAAACAAAACCATGTTTTGTCTAATTACCTGAACATAAAAAAACATGGGTCTGTTAGGAACAGGCCAGGGAAAATCGATTTGAGACAGCAGCCTGTCGCTTGTAGTGACTCCATTTTGAAGAGTTCCTTCATAAAAACTGTTAGATGGAAACTCGGATAAACTTGGATGCATCCGATATTGGACCTGTAAAAGCAGAGCCATCAATAAGCTCTGGGACGTTAATATGAAAATACATCAATCAACTTATTCAAATTCGACTATGTTACCCAAATGTGCTACTTTCCTGAGGCCTATCAGAAAGACATTTTCGGAAAATCTGTCACGAAAATAAAACCTGAGTTCAAGCAACCACACAAAAAGAATCACCTGTAGACGGATAGGCTTCACTCCAAGTAGAACAAGGCGCTCAAACAGAGATTGAGCAAGCCCAGCACGGGCAGCTTTCTTGCACATGATAACAGGGCCTAGCTGACAATGATCTCCAACCAGAACCAACTGCAAGCATCCGATCACGATCGGCAATTGAGAGTTAGAAAGGCTACAGGTTCACGGTTCGTGTATCTCAAACATCAACCGCCACAGGGAGAACAAGAAGAAGTGCGGGATAAACTCACTTGCTTAGCTCCAAGCACGAGCGGAATCAGGCACTCAGGCTCCGTTGCCTGTGTCGATTCGTCTACTAAAACCTGCAACAGATAAATGGAAAGTCTAATTTCAAAAAGCAGTAAGCAGCTGTATTAATGTGTAACAAAACCTTCTGCAAACCCCTGCACCTTTAAAATTTGAAAAGGAAATCAGTTTACGTACGTCTAAGGCACTTCATTATTAATACATTAAAAAAAGATGGAATGCACACCTGACGGAAACGAAAGTTTGCAAGACGGGGATCACCCGCTCCCACACACGTGCAACAAATCACATCAGCACTTTGCGAGATCTCTCTTTCAGTTGCCCGCTTCAAAGATTTGTATTTCTTCTCATCTGAACTCGACAATTCACCTGCACAATAGAAACAGTTTAGTGATTAGTTTGCTACAGATCCAGTTAAATTGACAAAAGTCACAAAACCACAGAAGTATACTACACGTAAATCAAAAATTCAAAACATATGAAGTTAAATAAGTTAAAACATCTCGACTCAGAAAAATGAAATGTAATTACCAAGTTCATCCTTCAAAAGCTGCAATTTGTGTAGTTCACTTTTGTCCGTGGTGTCCAAGTGCCGTACCTATGTAACCGTCCAAATCACGTCAAAAGTTAACCTACACGAACTTAGAAAATAGAATCATCGTTAACAAACCTAAAACCCAAAAAACATCAAGCAATTTATAAAAGCCAAGAAAGGTGAGCTGAATATATTACTTGGTAATGAAGTGTTAGATGCTCCACAGGAGAGCTAACAGCCTCTCTCGACTTTGCGCATAATCTTACAACCTGGAAAAATATGAGCATATAAGTTCACAAGGTAAATCAACCATTCTTTCAAGTGAATTTGTAGAGAAAAAAAGAAAAAGAAAAATAACAATTACCTTGAGACCTGTTGCACTAATCTTTTCTGCAAGTTGATCCACAGCAACATTACTGGGAGCACAAACCAGAACCTGTATAGTACAAACCACATAGATAAGACATACTACTCCTGAAAAAAACAAACAAAAAAATAAAGGTGACAAACAAAAAATTGAAACATCTTCCCTAGTTTGAACACGTGACTAGTCGTGAAGAACGGTAAACTTTCATTATTATAGAAATCACCTGTCCTTGACCCTGTTTCGCTAAGTGATATACAATGGCCGCTGATGTCACTGTCTTTCCAGTGCCTGGGGGACCCTGAATCAAACTAACCGGCTTTTGTAACACGCTTTTCACAGCATACACCTGTTCACCATCAAAGTCATCCAATATTTAATAATAACTAAAGCCACCACAATCAATCACACTTAGAATAGTACTCCTGTGACCCTCCATCGTTAAATACAAGGTTGTACTGGCCATTGAGATGTGCTGTAGAGACTAAACCTATGTCATGTTACAAAGTCTTTTGAGACAGATCAAATGAGTAAGGGATAATAGGTGTTTAAATGTAGCTATTAGTTACAAAAAAGCCACTCCATTATGATTAATGCAAATCTGAAACATGGGTTGCATCTACATAAAAAAAAACTGTTTTACAGAAATAAAGTGATTCAGTCAAACCTGTGAGGCATTAAGTTCCGGTAATCCTGGAGCTCCAAATCGCCGAGGCAGCGTGTTCCGAACAGTTTGCATTTCAACTTCATGTCCAAGTAGACGATGATAGATATATCTGTGGAGAGAGAATAATAAATGAATACATTAAATAGACATAAAAGGGAAACTCCTGATTCAAGTTTCAAAAAATTACTCAGAGTTGGAACAGGGTTGAGGAAATGCTAACCAACATAGAGCATATTTACATTGCACTCACGAAACCGAAAAATCTTCATCACGAGCCTTAACAATGCTTACCCACTAACACTTGTCTCATCAACAGCGAATGTCTTCATCGCCACCTGCATCCGATCAAAACTCGTACTTTTCCATACAAAATCAACACTGAAGTTATGATTCACGTCAATAGGTACGCCCTGCAATGACCAGTTAACATCCGCTCAGTTAGTGCATAGAGTTCATCAATTTACTGAAAAAACACTTAGGGTAAACATACTAATGCAGATGGGAGCCAATGCACATTGACAATCGTCCTCATTAACATGAACACACATGGCTAAACATGTATTAGAACAAATGCAGCTCTACCTGGTTAGCGCGCAACTCAAGAGCCACCTCCTCTTGAGCCGTGAGTTTGATCTGCAAAAAGCAAATAAGAATAAGAACGAATATCAAAAACATTAAAATAATGCAGCGCAATAGTATGCAGATTATTCAAACTCCACAAGGCTCCACAATGTAGCATACCACATGGCCCACGGATTGCCATCCTGAATGTGTTCCATCACCAGGATAACGTAGACGCAATTCATCTCCAGGAACCAACCGCAGTTCATTATCCTCCTACATAATTCACCATAACCAATGCCACTTGAGTTCGATGGCAGAACAATTAACATGATGACAATAGTTCAAAACAATAATATTGTTAATTAATTAATTAATTAAGTGATTAATTAAAAAGTGACTACGAAGGTAAACTTCTTGGGTAAATTACGATACAAACCTTGGGGAAGACAAAATAGGCAATTCTCTTCTTGTTGAGACCTACATCCCACCGCACTGTGATGTTGTCTTTGCTTTGAGACTCTTTCATCATCTGCAACCCATACATGAAAGCTTCCGTTTTAGAAAGGGGAAGGACAGCAATTCGCTTTCGGCCAACTACAGAAGTATTAGACGTCAGAATCAATAACGCTAAGCTTAACTGGCCTCAATGTCCTGTCCGTCGGGATCTAAAGCAGGTACATCAAATCGCTGATAAATATTGATTCCTGGATAGAATACTTCCAATGTCGAGCTAGATTTTTCCAACCTTTTTTATGACAGCTAGAGATGTTACAAAGATTTGCATGTAGTGCAAAATCTACCAATAAGATAGTAACTAGCAATGGAACCCAAGATCATATGAAATCTTCCATGAACATGAGACGAGCCAAAATTTGATTTGAAGGATACTAGCCGTACCTTATCGTAGTCGGCCTCCAGCTTCACGAGTGGACCAAAAACATTTTGATACTGCTCAAGAAAATTGGAAAAAATCAAAAATCAAAAATCAAAAAAGTTTTCAATTAGAAGAACTGATAATATACTTTCCATACGTAAAGAAACAGGCACAACACATAAACCCTTACATTTCTGATTCACTAAATGCTAACAGTAAATGAATTTCACGTTACAATGGGAATTGAGCGAAACAAAACGAACCATCCGCTAACCTGATAAGCATCTTCGTACTTCAATGCCACAGGTTGAGGTTCATCATCGACACCAGGCTTCTCAAGATCTTCTAGAGTAGCATCAGGATTTGTCTTCCAAAGTTCTTCCACCTTGTTAATTTGCTGAGCGCTGATTTGTCGTGCTCTCAACTGTTCTTGCTCTGATGGAACCTGTTGGCAATACGTTTGCTTAAAATACAGACTAAAAATGACAGCCTGAAAGTGGGAAAGTTTCAGAAGGCACATGAGCGAAATCAGAGCACTTCCACAAACTGCGAGTCTCCCACCATCCCACTTTGATAGTCTCCATGGAATCGTCAGAGAAGAAAATAATTGCGAGAGAAGAATGAGAATCAAAACTCTTTTGCACTAAACACTTATCAGAACCATATGCCCTAGATATTTAAGTACAAAAAGAGAAAGCAATAGTATAGAGCTTCAAACATTGAAACTATAAACTCCCAGGAATCATACCTTGACTAACCAATCCAGGAAACAACGGTCATTGATGAGTGGCAGCCATTGGCTGAGATCCCAGTTCATATCCTTCAAGCCATTTACGCTCAAACAGGGCTCTCGGCAAAGAAGTACCACAACGCTTTCGGACTTCGCAGGGATAAATCCTAACAAGAAAACATTGCGGCACCCGCAATTATAACATTCCAGGATCGTTTCTCCCAACGGACTATCCCTGTGCAAGCAAACTTCTTTGTGTTTGGAGCGGACCTGAAAACAAAAGTTGACAGAAAAAGTCAATTTCCTTACATGTCGACTACTAAAACTTCCCTAAATGCGATATCCGGTCCAAATGTGCTGATGTGTTGAACAATACTCTCGAGCATTCAAAAAGGTACTCCCAAAATCACACAGACGTGATGATAGAGACTTTGGCGTAACGACATACCCCTCACAGGACTGAATCTCGAAATAATGCCCGTAATAAACGACTCTGACGTTAAGACATCTGTAATGAAAGCAACGCTTATCTCAAATACTATCACGCCCACATTTCATACTGTCCATAGCCAGGCGTTCAGAACTACAATGACAAATCCCACGTAATGTTTCCTCGTTTTCACGTGAAATCGCTTGCCTGAAAATATTATGTACGGGCACAAATATATGTTTCAATCCCAGTGCCAAACGCATACATCTTGGACCAGAACCTCCACGTCCCTCATCTTTACAACAACAGTAACCACCTCCTAACCCTAAATACATCGAGCTTGAAAATCATGGATAATTATCTATGATTAAGTGCAAATAAGGCAATAATGAATCTTAGAAAAACATATACAATTCTCTCCCATGGCCAATCGTAATGAAAACTCCACAACATTCTACAATAGGACTTCAAAACCGTGCCCAAATAACATGTCCATAACCAAACACCTACCCCCCGAATAAATCCTCAGTTGACAAATTCTTGGGAAAAAAAAAAATAATAATAACCTAACATCCGAAATTTCATTCACATGTCAACCATCCATAACCCTCTCCTAGATACAAAAGAAACAGAACTAGAAACCATATATCTCACGTCGTGAAGCTAAACCCTAACTCGATGCACAACCACCACTCCGCAGAATTTAACACCACGAAAGGTCCCAAAAAAATCACCAGATGATTCACGATATGCGACCCAGACGTATTGCCCCGAGAGTTGCAAAACCACTTCCGGCACGTAGGCACGTTGCAGCGCATGATGCAGGCCGGATTATGAATCCCACAGTACTTGCACGCGTGCTCCGGCAGGTGTCGCTTCGAGTAGTCGAGGCTATCCTCATCCCCTGGGTCTTCAAAATTCAGCTCACTAATCCCTGAGGTCAAACCAGCCACGCCACTCACATGCCCGCCTCCAATCTTCCCGTCCTCGCCACCTCCCAATCCACTCAATCCGATCAAGTCCCCTGCACTCCCGCTAACCAAATCCCTTCCATCGCCTACACTAATTGGACTCCCGAGCCCCCCGACCAAATCCTCACCCGCCGTCTCCGCCCTCACACCGACTCCTCCTAACCCTCCTCCTCCTACTCCTCCTCCTCCTAATCCCACGCTTCCCCGGGGCGGTCCTTGGCTACTCAGGGACTCCGCCGTAAACCCAGGGAACTCGTAGTCATCCCCCTGCGTGTTCAATTCCAAAAACGTGTACGCATCCGCGTGTTGCTGTTGCAATTGCTGCATGTGCTGCTGGTGTATCTGGTGCTGATGATGATGCTGTTGTTGTTGGTGTTGTTGTTGTTGCTGCAGAGCCGCCTCGAACAACGACGACGCCTGCTGCTGCTGGCCGGCCATGGCGTTGGAGAGGCGCTCCTCTAGGGTTTGGAGCTCATGGAGATTTGGCTGTGGAGCTCTCTCTCCCCCTCTCTCCCTCGACTACTACTACTATCGAGAGCCAACAAGTAAAATATGTTATGGATGCTAATGGAACACCAACCCCCTTCGTCGAACTCTCAACCCCCCCTCCTCTCCCTCTCTCTCTCCCTTCTCTCCTTCTCTCTCTCCCTTGAGCTTGTTGTGACTTCCTTCCCCTACCCTTCCTTCCAGAGCAGGTGAGAGAGAGCAAGAGAGAAAGAAAAAGAAAAGAAGAGGCCTCTTCCATTGCCCGACCTCCTCTGGGGGCCTATTCACACCGCGCTCTGGGATGGATCTGGGTCCACGCGTGCTGCTGCTGCTCGTGGGAACAGAGCAGTGTGGCACCCAGCCAGTCATTTCCCTCACTGCTGTGATCCCGTTCCGTGAACGAGTGTTCGGAACGATTGTTGGGAACGCCATCCGTTGCGGGGTCAAAGTTCCCCGCCTGCTGTTTGTTGCCTCTGCCCCTATACGCCTTCTCGTGTCCTCTTGGATGATTTAAGTGATGAATGACGACGTTCGTTCTTGGTTTTATCGTCGGTATTTCATCGTCTCGGTCTTACTTTTACTTTCGTTTTTTTCTTTTTTTGTGCTGTAGTGCTTGCTCTTGTTACAGCTTAGACCAAGATATTGTACAGCATCATCAGCATCATCACAGGGAAAGCAGAACACTGCCTCTTCAACAATACAAGATTCGTTGGTTGAGAATACGACGCTGGAGCCATTGGGAGTAATAGTTGTCAACGAAGATATCAGCTTGTAGTCTGTAGGTATTGTTGGGAAGAAGTAGACATAGGTGTTCTCTTCTGATGTTTTAAACGCTACGCACATCCTGTGCACGTCTTCTACAATATACTTTCCATTGTAGGCGTCGAGAAATTGTAACATTGGATCTTTAAGTTGACCTTGGGGAAGCCCAAAAAGCTTTACAAAGATTGATGCCATCGTGCTGGCGCTTGTTTTTTGATTGGGGGTTGTGGATTTTCTTTTGATTTAGGGTTTGGGGTTCAATATGTAGGTGATACTGGGCAAGAAAAAAGAAACTTTTTTTGTACTTCACTCAATGATAATGGACACAAAACTAAATTAATGCTCAAAAAATATTATAATTATTTAGTTTGAAAAGACACTTAAATACATAATCTAAATAAATGTTTCATCAATCAAAACTACCAAATGTTATTTTTTAACTTAAAAAAATGTTACTTAAAAAGTCTATCAACACAACAATGTTAATTGTTAACTAAATAAATCCATGTTGTTGTCACAAAAAGTGTGACTCAAATATGAGCCGAAGAATAGTTTTCAAATCCAAATACAATACAATACAAAAAGAAAGAAATAAAATACATAATGGAGCTTTCAAGTATGAAATAGGATAAGAAAACCCATGCCATTGTCACAATTAATATACAATAAAAGTAGTTAATTTAGTTCAAGGAATTACTTGTGAAAATATAAAAAAGTATTAAAAAATCATTAAAATATGTTAAGTTATTTAAAGATGTATTATATTTCATAAAATAAGTTAATTCAAATATAAAATAGATATTTATTTAATTAAAACTTCTAAAAAAATAATATTTAATATAGAATTTAAATTGTCATTTCTAGAAAGAAGAACCTTAATAGAATGGGAGGAAGTGCATCGAGAGAGTGTTATAAAATTGACTATGGGAAAAAATAGGTTATTGTAGATTCAAAGTAATATGCTTCATCGATTATCCTTGAAATTTATTTATTGTTATTGCACATGTGAGATGGATTGGAAATTATTTCTTCTTTACAATAAATGAAAGTACTTTTATTATAGAAGTTAATGAAATCCGTGGAAGAAACACTAAGTTTCTAGCAAATTTTCTTCTAAAAATTCTTACTTCAAGAACTCAATTTCTTATCACGGACATATATATTTACCTCAATAGTTACCTATATAATTAAGTAGAAGTAGGTAAATATAGAATAATTTCATAGTCTTCTAAAAAAGCTTCCTAAAAGCTTTATAGACGCGGTTTTGACTTTAGATGTGTTCGTAGGTTAGAAACTTGGCCAAAAAGCTAATCATATATGGATAGCTTGTGGAACAAGTTATCTCTGTGTAATAGCTTGAGGAACAAACCAATTACATGGCGCATACATAGATAACTTGCGTTGCAAGATAAGACATGTGGTTAGCAAAGTCAACACATGTTGGAGGTCCTATAGGACATCGCCACGTAGCACTTAATTAGATAGTATATATGGAAGCAAGAATGAAGCCTTCTTCACTCTTATCAATGCCTTTCTAGTCTTAGTCTTGTTTCAAGACTTTCTAGTTTTCTTTTTTTTGATAATAGCCATTCTAGTTAATATTACATCACGTTTTGAGTGACTTTCTAGTTCTCTTCAGTGATAGAAGAGTTTATTGATGATTTTCTACTTTCGAGATTCATGTCCTTGATAGTTTGACAAGAGTGCTAACATATTTTTTGTATCTTGTTCTAGAAGTGAGTGGATTACTCCACTTCTATTATTATATTTTGAAGCTTGTAGACTATCCACCTTTAAATAAAAAATCTTGTTTTCTAACACTGATCTTTTTCTTAAAGAAAGTGGATAACCTCTCTTTGTGGGATTTGTTTTTAGAGGTTGCGGATTACCCTCTTCTAATTTAACTTATGAATTTGTTTGAGTTGTCTATGGAAGGAAAGATTATGGATGCTACTCTCAATGGAAGTGAGAATAGATTTGCAACTGTAGCAGATCTTCATGAGCTTATCACCACTCTAAGAATAGAAATCTCACGTATTTTCAACATGAATCATGGAAGTACTATGCCTATGCCTATGGAAGAAGTTCAGAGTCTATAACAGAAAGTTGTGCAGTTGAAAGAAGCAAGTAGATCAACGTCACAATAAAATCTAAGGAGTTTTGCTTCTACAAGTATGAGAGGGACAATGATAAGTATGCCTATGAAGTTTGATGGAACCAGATCAAAATTTTGAGGATTTTTGCAACAATTCAAGCTTTATCTAAGGTTGTATCCTTTCCAATATACAGATGGATTTATCCAAGTTGGATTCATAGGTGCACTACTATCACAAAGTGCTCTCTTTTAATTTACATCTTTAATAGAAAAAGATTCACAACTCCTTTATAATTTGAATTCATTCCTAGAAGTGTTTATGGCCAAATTTGGAGAAAGTCATCAAGAATGAGTAGCAGAGACTAAGCTTTTATCTTTACGGTAAGGATCACGATCAGCCACTATGTATGTTGCTAAATTCCAAAACCTTGTTTGCAACATGGACTGGAATGACAAAGTACTTATCAACCAATTTTGATATGGATTGAAGGATAGTATCAAAGATTTGTTATTAACAATGACAAAAGTAGAATCTTTGAAACAATTTATTACTCAAGCCATTACATGCGATAATTATTTATTTGAAAGGTATCAAGAACAAAGATTTAGTTGGAGAGGATCAAATCAAGTAATGGCAGTAACTCACAAGTTTTTTGAAACATATTCATCAAAGCCGCATCCATTATAAATTGATATGATACATTTTAAATCTCTCACGAAGCAAGAAAAGACTCGACATTGCCAAGAGGGATTGTGTTTATATTGTAGAGAAGCTAAGCACACTATTCAACATTGTCCAAAAAAGCAATGTAATTACAAAATGAGGAGCACAATTACCAAAGAAGATAATGTGTTAGAAAACAAGTTTCTCTAGCTACAATAGGGACCGTGCGGCTAGAATCATGTGCAACATCTAATAAAGGTCATATCCTCTCCTCAGGCCTATCACCTTGTTTTATAATAGAAGTATATTTAGGAACTAATAATCACAAAGTCTTTGCCTTGTTAGATTCAAGAGCTCAGTATGTTTTTTAGATGAAGATTTTGCCAAAAATCAAAAAAAATACCTTTATTAAAGAAAGTTAAATCCATACATGTAGAAATCGTAGATGATTGTTCATTGTCTTCTGGAAATGTTGTCCATAAAACTATTCCTTTAGATGTAGCAATTAAAGATCATAACAACATAGTAGTATTTAATATAATAAAATCTCCTTCTAATTCGGTTATTTTAAGATTATCATGGCTAAAAAATATAACCCTCAAATAGATTAGTTTTCTTGTAACCTTAACTTTCTTGATAGTATAATCCAAGATTGCATTAGTAAAGTAGAAGTATGTAAGTTCAATATGTCCAAATCTTTGCTAGTAGGTGCAAATGCTTTCATGTATGCTACATAAAAAGAATCATCTTTTGCTATATATGCTACATCCATTTCTAATGGTGAAACAACATCGAGTAGTATTCCTAATCAATATCAAGAATTCCAAGATGTTTTTGAAAAGGATAATGTAAATATTCTCCCCGAGCATCGATCTTATGATTGTTCAATTGATCTGTAAGAAGAAGCTCAACCACCATTTGGACCAATCTATAGCTCATCGCAGAATGAGTTGGCTGTGTTAAAGGAGTACATTGATGAGAATTTGGCAAAGAACTTCATACGCCATTTTAAAACTCCAATCGGAGCTCTTATCTTATTTGTGAAGAAGAAAGACAGATCTCTACAAATGTGTGTAGATTATCGAGGATTCAAGAGGATCACCATCAAAAATAGATAGCCTTTGCCTTTGATTTTAAGACTTCTTGACCAACTCAATCAAGCATAGATCTATACCAAAATAGATATATGAGGAGCATACAACTTAGTTCGTATCAAAAAAGGAGATAAATGGAAGATTGCTTTTCAAACTAGGTATGGACATTTTGAATATAACGTCATGCCTTTTGGATTTACGAATGCACCGGCCACTTTTCAACATCTTATGAATGATATTTTTTGTAAATTTTTAGATGATTTTATTGTTTGCTATTTAGACGACATTCTAATCTACTCTAAAAACATAGAAGAACATGAGCTTTATGTTTGTCATGAGTTATAGAAACTTAGAGATGCAAGATTATATGCCAAGTTAGAAAAATGTGTATTCTACACTACCGAAGTTGGCTTTTTAGGGTACATCATTTCCAATGAAGGCCTTATGATGGATCCCAAGAAGGTTCAAACTATCATAGCATAGAAGA